TAGTTTTCCTAAACGAAAGAAATATTTTCGTATCAACACTCTAAAATAAATAGATAACTCACCTTCAAACATAATAAAACCAGTATATAATTTATTGTGTTGTTTAATGTGTATCATATTATTTTCATCAATAACTGGGCATTTTTTTTTGTTAAAATACTATAATTTTTTTCTTTCGGAAACATAAATAACACATAAACTTCTTCTTCATCATTTCCACGACGACTTTTCAAAAACTTTTTGGCATACGGATTATTCATCTACAAATAAACAAAAGACATCAGTAAAATACTACGATAAGCAATGTTTTAAAATAGACAAACATTACGAATGTGATTGCGGTGGGAGAGAGAAAGTTTACATATTCTAAATCTGTATTTTATTGTCAATTAATGAAAAAAACCATTATTAGAAAACAAAAATAGAAACAACAAATGTTAAAATATCTAATTGTGCATAAAAAAATCAATCATGTTCACAATAAGCACGAATTTCTGTAATACACAAAGCATCATAAAAAGGCACACCTATACATTTACATTTAATTTTTTCCACTTGTATGACATCAAATGTATTTGTTTGTACTTTCAATGGGAATAATTCATCCAATTTCGATAACATTTCTTGAGGTATCTTGAGAAACGATGATATCGGTTTATCCCAGTTTTCATATTTTTGAATAAATGCAAAAAAATGACTATCATATTTATAAAAGAATATACAATTTGCATAATTTCTTGAATTATCATCATCTGAGTGATACGAAATGAGGTAACTATTACAGTTAAAGTTTTTGTCATATATTAATGAATGATATGTGACGAATGAATGTTTATAGCGTTTGAATAATGATAAATTATTAACATCTTCTGTTCTTTCATGAATAATATTTACAATATTTGCCGATAATCATTAATAGAATTGTTGTTAATAGTTATTTCATTAACTAATGCTGATTCTGATACCTGAAACTGTTCACGTTGAATAATAGTTTCAACGTCACACCAGTACGAAATTTGTGTTCCTAGTTGTTTAGTACCATGCACTTTTTTTTTAATATGACGTATACATGATTCAAAACAAAATGATGATACATAAGCTAAACCACCATGTTCATGAACTTGTGCAGGTAAATGAAGATGACCATGTAAAGAATATAATTCAATACTTGGATCATAAACTATTGGTGCTGTTTGACAATAATAATGTATTAAATCATTGGCCAAATCAATTTCAGTTTTTGCATTTGGCGAATGTAATAATTTAATACACATAGAATAAATTGGAAAATGAGAAGAAATTAATGATGGTAAATATTTTATAACAATTGGTAATCCAATATATAAAACAAATAGGCGTAAATGTTTCGCTTTCCAGTCATTAACAGAAGCAATTGAATAATTAAAAAATACACTAAAATTGTGTGGTAATCTAATATTAGATAATATATGATCAATATGAATTATATCATCTTTTGAAAATAATTTAAACCATCTTCTAATTAAATTTGACATATGCCCAAGACATACCAAATGCATATAATCATAAACAATTTGATCGGGGTATGAAAATATTTTTAATAATACTGATAAGCCTCTGACACCTTCAATAATTAATTCACGACGTCCAAATGCATTTGCTGTTGCTGTTTGTTCAGCTGTTTCGATAAACTGATCATGTGTTCTTCGTGTATAATTATTCATTCTGTATGGATATAAAACTTGACCATATTCAGGATTGTGATAACCTATATAAAGAGAAAAAATAATTACTTCAAGTACACGTGTTCCTAGTTGCCATATTATTCTACTCGCAACATTTGTGCTCACTAAATTTTCCTCACGTATGTCCATTATTCGAAGTTCCTCTTGTTTTTCATTTGTTCCCGTCAGTAATTTCATGACACATGCAGAGCCTTATTATTTCACTATTTTTAACTAGAAAAGAAAAAAGAAAAAACCAATTAAATACCTCGTGTCATACAACATGTACAGGCAAAATAACCGTTAAAATTGATGGTTTTAAAAAATAATGATTTTGCTGGAAGATCAGATATAAAGAATTGTGTACGAATGATGATTTTGAATTCATAATTATTAACGAAAATAGATGTTCCATTGTTAATAAGATCAATCATTTCTTGAATAATTTCCGTCAAAAATATATTTACATCTGGTTTTTCTCGTGCTACCCACAATGCCATAACAATAATGGCGGATTGGTATTCTCTAACTGGTGGAGGAAGTTCTACAATTGATCCAAAACAAGTCCACAAACATTGTTTTGTACTTCTTACTAACGGTGCACCATCGGCATGCATAACAATTGTAATTGTATTTTTTTCTTTTGATGTTGTTGATTTATAATGTGAAAAATTGCTAATATCACTAACCGGAAAAAGTTTTTCATGTCCAGTAAGTAATGATATATTTCGTTCAATTATTGACTGTATTTTTTATCTAATATCTAATGTAACCACTTCAATAACTTCGTTCTTTGTTAACGTTCTGTTAAATAATGAGCATTCATTACTTTCACATTTTCTTGAACCATATCTTGTTTTTGAAGTTAATTGATGACAATTTACGCATAAATATTTTGTTGTTGATAAACATGTTTTTCCGAATGTGCCTAATATTTTCTTTTGTGTTGTTGGTAACAAATTAGGTGTTGGTAACAACGATTTGACAATTTTCATTAATTTAATCATATTTGATTTGTCCATATTAATATTCACACAAAATTCTGTTAATAATCTAACAGCTGTCATAACACTTGTTGAACTATTTTTATATAACAGTGGTGAATTATCATAATAAATGTGTTTAATGGTGTGTAATAATGTATTTTCATCATCATCAGGCACATAATTCGTAACATTTAATTCAGTTGGATCAGTTATTGGTTCATTATCATCAATGTTATCATCAGAATCAGAGCTACTACTTGAATCTTGTGGTAAAACTTTATTTTTTTCAGCACGCCTTTGCTGTTGTCGATATACTTTTGAACTATAATACCTAAAATGTTTTTCTGCCATCTTCAAATTTGAAATATTATAAAAAACGAAACGTTCATAGTTTTCTAAAAGGCACAAAGAAGAACACGGCACTTAAACGCATAATATAACTTTATACTACACTTCTGCTACGCAACCCTTTTCTCACCGTCCTAAACTTTGAAGATTAAACGAGAAAAACTTTGTTGTCATTATCTATTAATTTTACACTATTTTACTTTTATTTCTCCCGTTCAACAGACATTCTCTGTTTCTTATTGGTTGACTATCGAACCAATTGTACCGCTTCGCAAAACTTAACATACTACTACGCTGACGAGGGAATGATGTGTCGAAACTGTGGAAATATCATCTGTAAGAAGTCAAAGTGATTCTCAGTAACTTTGATCTGAATAGTGATTTGAGCGGGAAAATCCGAAGTCACTTTTCAAAATACGGTAAACCGTCGGTAAATTTCTGGACCGCGGTCTCAAAAAATACCACCGGTAAACCGCAGTATATCGGCGGTATTATTGTGGACCGCGATATACCGGCGGTACTTTTGTGGACCGCGGTATACCGGCGGTATTTAACAAAAAAGCACGACATGGGAAGTGTCATTGGCAGAAGTACGATTGGTATAACGTCGCGACATCACGAGAATATACAAGAATACGCAAATATATAAATTTCTATAAAATGTGCTGGGCTTGGTGCATTCTCATTGACAATACGCAAATGTTACATAGTTGCTCACTCTCATGCTGCACCTCCCCCCTCCCGACCGCGACACTATATTATGTATTGTCAATGAAAATACACCAAGCTCAGTAAATAGTGTCTTTTTGAGAATACACTGCATACTGATATTCTGACATCTCTGGAATTTAAGGAAATAAGAATTTAAAGAAATAGGGCAAATAAGGAAATAAGAAGTTAAGAAGCTAAGAATTTAAGAAAATAAGAATTTAACACTTTAACAGAAAGAAGAGAATAAGAATTTGTTCGATTCCTGAAAATTCTTCTTTCTCTACATCAAGTCTTCTCTACAGGTCTTCTGCACCAAGATCAAAGACTTTTTTCCTACAAAATTAAAAGACAACTTATTCATTTTAAATCTAAATTCCATTTTCCGTTTTCGAAAGCAATGACGTTGGATGAAAAATATCCAATCAAGTGATTGATTTTCTTCCATATTTAAATCTAAAATCAATTTTTTTTTCATCTTCGACGAAATCTTTTTCAGAACACTATTTTTTCTCTTGTCTCATGTTGAAAGAAATAAATGAGAGAAAAACAGAGAGAGAGAGGGAGAGATGAGGGGAAAAGCGTATAAGAGTATAGTGCATCGGATCACTTTCTAATGAATTTGTATTAGTAATAGTTGTTGAAGTATATATATGTGCATCGTGTTTGAACAACCTTCATGGAACCGCATCCATCATCAAGAGTCTTTATCAACATTTATGTAATCCTCTACTTAATAATAAATAAAACTATTAAATCGAAATATAATCATGGCTCAACAAAATCAGTGTTTGTACAGAAAGTGTGTGAATGTCAGACTTAATCTTCTGCCCCAGCCATTCAAAGAAGTGATATGTTGGATACTTTATTCAAAAACCGTGCAACGTCTTACTCTTCACTTCAATCTCCCCCCGCCCTCCTAAAACTGAAATTGTCTCGGCATATATATACTCTGAGACACTCAAGAAAAATAGCTGTATGAAAAGTATAAATAAAAATAGCCACGTCGCAATAAAACGAAAACCTAGATATAAAATGTAAACTTCAACTACACAATAGATGAACACAAAGAAAGAAATTTAGACATAAAGTATCTGGATGAAAAGTATACATAAAAATAGCCACGTCGCAATAAAACGAAAAGCCTAGATAAAAAATGTAGTTGTAAATTCAAATGTTTATGTAGAAAGCAAAAAGATCGAGAAAGTTAGAGGTGTCACTTCCTAACAGTCAGTTACGAGTTTGGTACTGGAATAGTTCGTCTAGTATTACCGCAGCAACAGTACAGGAAAATAAAACAGTTCTTTCGCGTATTTTATGACATGATCAGTGCAGGTAGGTCGCGCAATAATCAAACCAGCGTATGTTAGTAAACACCATTCTTTTTCATCTGGACCAATCCAGTTTAGTTTGTTCTTGGTTGTATTAAACGTAAATTTGGCACTACGATTAGATTGCGATATATTGCAAGTTGAGGTGGTTATTAACGTGTAGAATGTGTTTTCTGGATAACCTGCCCAGATACCGTCAGAATCTTCACGCTGAATGTTCAAACAGTAGTTTCCATAACGAATAAGCTTGTCAGCAGTGGAATAGACAAACAGTGTTTGATTTCTATAACAGTTTAGCCAATCATCTTCTACTGTTGCAACAGGAAAACCTACATAACCTTAAGCAGCAATAAGAACGTGTCTGTTATTCTTTCATGTATTTAAGAAGAATGGAAACAATTTAGGATACTTTTCTTTTCTTTTCGTGTGAGTCAGGTCTTTCATAGTAATGTCAAGTGGGATAGTACTACAGATTGAGACGGTCAGAACCTCTTTTTAGATATCCAAGGGTATTTGACAATTTGTCAGCGTCCCCTATTTGCGAAGGAAAATCGAATACATACAATGGTCACATTGTGGAGAAGCACATCGTGTTCCGTTAATGTCAGGAGCACCTAACCATCTAAATGGTACATCGGTTGGTGTTGTTGATATATACCAAGGAAGTGGCGATGCATTAGTGCAAACAATAAAAAAATAAACCATACTTGAACATGATAATAAAAGATACAACATCGATAATGAACGCATGTCGGGCAGCTTGTTTGTATAATAAGAACGCGAAACGCAATGCTTGTTTCTGTCTAAAAGAAAAAGAATTAGTTTCATGTCTGCTGAACCTTTGGTCATTACCAGCAGCAGAAATATTTTAGTTTTGAATACACGAGGTACACGATCGTGTTTACTCATGGTTTTGATTCTATCTTGATCATAGGACACAACAAGTGAGAACCAACAGTGTCCCATTCGATTTAGCTATTGTCACCTCTACTGTTCCCCAAGATTCTGTTTTGGGCTCACTTCTCCTCTTCGTATTCATTAATGATCTGTCGAACATTCTTCACGTCTCAACTACAACTTCTCTCTTTGCCGACGACTTGTTCATTGTCGTTTCTATGGGTTCGGACGATAGTTTTGAAGTGGCCGGAAGAGATATTAGCGAGCTTCATATTTGCTGATAGAAAATGTTGGTAGATTTATAGTTAGTTGTTCTTTGATGATTCTCCTTCTATTGTATCTCCCTGTTTATTCCAACTAACGTAAGAGAGAAACAAGTTCTCGTGTACAAGGACTTAAGCTAATAGGGTTACATGTCTCACATGATCTGAAATGATCACGTCAGATCGACAGAGCAGCATCACAATGTCGTAAAATGTTAGGCATTATCTATAGAATGTTTCAATATTCCCATTTACATTAGACCAATATGTGTATTTCACATCTGTAAGACAGTCATGGAATATAGTTCCATAACTGTCGAGAGTACTTTCAAAGCGCACTTGGAAGCACTCAATTCAATGCAATGATTGCCTTCTCCAGTTCTAACTCACGACTTCATCTCCTCCTCTTCTCGTGTCGCTCTCCGTGTGATTTTTCCATACTCGTCCTGTTTGTTACTCAAGCACAATAATAGTGACAGTTGTTAAAGCATTGTTTTTATACACATTCGACATCGTTCTATCAGATGTACGAGGCAGATTGTTCTTAGATTGCCCTTTTCTCAGAAAAAGGGTGAGTTTGATCAAATGGTACAATAGCGCTGCAATTCACCACCCCTTTTTTATGTAAAAAGAAAAGATTGTCGACACACAACTTAAACTTCATCGTACTCAAACTAGATCGCAGTGTATGTTTTAACCTTACACAGTTCACTGTCATTCAAATACATGGAGAATTGCACAACTAACTCGGCAACAAAGTTGACTTTATATAATTAAACACCTCTCTATTCGGATTACTTTAGTTTAAGCCAATTTTCTTGGTCTCGAGAAGTTAACTAAACTCGAAATTCTAATGAGAATGCTGGTAAGCCGAGCCAGGAATATTTCAGAACAAAAACATTTTTAGTTTTCATTTTCCAAGACGGTCAACAGCCTAACTGACCTGCTTTCGATTCCCAAATACAATAAACTTTGACTGTTTTCCTAGCAGTTTCTCCCTTAAAATGTTTACTTCTGCGTTCTGGTAGAAACACGAGGGGTTTCACAAAAATACAACCACCGTCATGGGCCTAGAGTTCATCCCCTTTCAGTTAGAAAATGACGCTTCCTTATCACATGCAAGTAAATTCCTTAGAATTTAGCAATGCTCAAGGAGAGTGAAAGTAAATCTGATGTCCGTACCCTTCCATCACTTATGTCATGCTAGAATAAGAACAGGAACCGCATCGGATTTCCAGCCTTTTGTCAGAGCTTACACTCTAGCAGAAAAATGACAACACTTACAACGTGTAATATTTCACTGAATTCAAGCAATCAGCACACTCGGCGAATTATAATTGTGATGAAACACATCTCAGCTCACGTACATAGACCATGAATGGAGGATTAGAATGAACAATGAATACATGACACTGACAGATACTGTATATTTACCCTTTCTATCGCTTGTGTGTACAGTGTAATCCTTAAAGGAATGAAAGCGAAAATTATTCGCCCAGCTCATGAGAAAGCGACACGGCTCAGTCAATATTGAACTAGATCGTATTTACATCTACATAGTTATAACAAAATAACTACATTCGAACGTGGTCTCTTACATCTTGCCACATTCTCTCATTAAGTATCGATAAAGAAACGAAGACAAGCAAAATATCTCGTTGTGTTGACTGAACAAAAGAAGGGCGTCGAATGAGAAGTCGCCATTTTCGAATAATGGAATTAGTCAGATCACAGTATGCGTTTTTCGCGCACACATTTTTGCTTTCTCAAAGAAAAGTATTATCTCGGAACTCGAAAATGGTTC